CTGTAGCACTAACTGTTCGTGAGTTATGCCTGCATGAAGGCGTAAAATGAAAAAAAACGCGTGGTATAATACTCTTTGAATAAAGTTTACAATACTTCTAAACATTGCTCGAGTAAATCTCGTGCTCGTTCCAATTTCGATCCTTTATAACGCTGTAAAAACTTGGTTAAATATGTGTTCCAGAGGTCGTAAACAATTAGCCATTTGAATAAACTGATCTCTAAAATAAACTTCACTCATGAAAAATTTCCATTATGAACTGAAAATATGTGGCAAATTCAAAAGCATCGAATTGAGAAACTCGATCCACGAAAAAATTCTGAATGGGAAGCTGCAATATTAAAAATTTGGGACGAAACTTCGCATGAAAATTTGGTTTCATTAATTGAGAGCATGCCGCGGCGACTTGAATTATGTATTGCTTCGAATGGAGATAAGATAAAATACTAAAAACTAAATTTTCTTTAAGTTCAAATATGAATCATTAAATTCTGTCATTTTTGTTGGTTTAATTATTTGCCTTCTAATTGCAATTAAGTTAAGACTCATTCCCAATACTTTTGCAGTAAGCTTTACATGATCGATCAGAGTCAACTTTTATCCTAATGTGAACATTTTAAAACAATTTGATTGAATGTGCTTTGAAAAGAGAAATTGTTGAAAACGATTTTATCAAAAAGAATGGTGAAAAAAGTAAAAATCAATTTACAGAGAAAAAAAAGAATAGAATGAAACTTGAAGATTGACAATCTTTTTTTCCCATTTTGATTTACTTTGAGCTAATGTTTTCTTCATTTGATGTCTTTTGGTTAAATTGAATTGCTCGTAAGTGCATATCATGTTTCACCATTTCAATTGAGATTAAAGTGTTGAGTTTTACAGGACAAAACAAAGAAACTGATAGAATTGTTGATTAAAAAGTTGAACAAAAAAAATTCGAGTTCATTCAGAGGTTTCCCTATCAAGCCTGAATCAAAGAGAAACCAATTTTAATATTTTACCAGCAAATTTAGTCGCTTCCAAGTGTGACACATGAGAAGTTGAAATTATTAGGTTGGACAAACTATTTAGTACTTGACTTAGCGCGTTTTTTTGTAGACTAACTAGATGACCTGACCTCTACCATTTCAAAGAGTGACCTTTTAGAAATATTTGACATAGTTTTTGACCACGCGTTCAAAATGGATTACCAAGAAATTTTAACAGAAAGTGTTTCAGACGAGGAACAACGTGTTTTTCTTAAATTTTGTGCTATTGAAGGGTGTTCAAACAGTGTAGCGCATTCAAACTTGGTTAAAAAAGTTGGAAATAAAGCGCTTTCGCGACATACAGTTGACTATTGGATGAGCAAATTCCGTTCTGGAGTTACATCATGCAAGGACAGCAGAGGAGGTGATCATCAAGATGAAGCCAGAAAAGCTGAAAGAATTGAAAAGATCCAAGCTGAATTAGCCACAACGCGACATTGGATACAGAGGCTTTAGCGAGCAAAACAGGCATCCCGGAAACAACTGTTAAGAGGATCCTCAAGAACGATTTAAAGTTGAAGAAGCTATTGGGTAGATGGGTACCACATGAATTGACTGAAGTTAACATGGAACACCGTGTCTTGGCGTGTAAAGAAAACTTGCGAATACACAAAAAAACACCAACCATCATTCAGCGGACTGTTTCTATTGATGAAACATGGGTTAGCCTATATATGGAACCTGACAAAAACCAGATGCGTGAGTGGAGGAGATCCGATGAGCCACCAAGTAAAGCACCAAAACAAAACATTCATGGTGAAAAAAGAATGCTAATAATGGCCATGGATTTTACCGGAATAGCGTTCTGGGAGCTGCTACCTGAAAAAACTACTGTAACTGGTGAAGTCTACAGAAAGTTTCTGGGTAAACATTTACCAAATTGGCTTGGTACCAGAAACTCGCAACACCTCTGGCTTCTCCATGATAATGCTAGACCACATAAGCATAAAGATGTCAAGGAGTTATTGGCTGAAAAAGGAATTAGTGTTTGGAATCATCCACCATATTCCCCTGATATCAGCCCCTTGGACTATGGATGTTTTGCTCAGTTAAAAAGAGAGCTAAGAGGAATTAAACACACGGGTTGGCATGAATTTGAAAGAGCTCTGAAAGCTGCTGTGAAAAAACTCAATGATTCTGGCTCAATGAATGCCATAAGCAAATTACCCAAAAGATGGCAAGCGGTGGTTGATTCTGAGGGCCAATATATCTAATATTAAAAGTTTCATTAGATTCTGTAATTCCCTCACTGAGAAAATAAAATTTGAATTTACCTAAAATAGTTTGGTCCAACCTAATACAAAAACATTGACAAAAGATACAAATGAAACTGAGCAAATGAGCAAATCAAATTGAAATAAATGTAATACTTTAAGGTTTATTTACACTTTATCTGCAAAATTCAGTCCCAATTGGAGTGAGCAAAGTGTTGATAATACTTGTAATGATGATTGAGGTAAGTGAAGGAAAGTAAAACAAAATGGAAATCACTTTGAGGATGTTTTTACCCTTAAATGGTGGCCAGTTCTTGACCACATTATCAACTAAGTATAGCATAAATTGTAACCAGCAATGAAGGGAAACAAGAAAAGTAATGAAAAACAAGTTTAGCCTTTTCCCTTGTACTTGTGACAATATTTTGATGATCCAATTCACGTTTTCATCATTTTTTTCTCGCAATCATTTTCCATTTTTATGAACATCGAAACCTTTTGACCACCACTTCAATTCATTGCTTTCTGTCTGAACTGGCGAGATAAAATATCAAGTTTATAAAAGCACTTTTGGAAAGCTTCAAACGACCAGAAAATGGAATATCTTTAAACCAGAAAATTTCACCCTTCCCTCAATGGTGAACAATTTGCAAAATAATTTATCAATTTAACCATTTACAGTTTATTAATAGTCTTGTTAATTGTACAATATTCATATTTCAACTCTTGAATGTCGAGTTGGTACAAATTTACATCTTTGGTTTACAGTTAATTTTGTACAATTGCAAAAATGAATCTCTTGGCGAGTCTTAACATTGGTCGAGATTGAGTAAAAAGTTACAAAAAAACTAATTTGCAAACAAAGGTAACAAGTTAGGAATGATTATGCTGATGATGATGATGATGATGATGATGGATAAGTGTCTGAATCGAGATTAACTGTTAATGATAAAGACAAACAAAAGGAGCAGCAAAGGGATGAATATTTGAATTATCGGTATCAGGAGAGTTGAAATTAAAGTTGTTCTTGTCATCGCTGTTTGGTGGTTTAATGTTAATTGAATAAAGATGCAATTATGATGATGATGATGATGGTGATTATAACTGTTTAACTCGTTTGTGTGACTCTTTGTTTTCTTGCATTGACTATCGG